TCGTTTAGCTGAGCTGTTGCGAACCCTCGTCTCGTCCGATGACTTCGCTTCCTCCCACTTGCGCGCAACCGTTCCCTTCATTCTAATCGCCTCGTTCCCGTTCCGCATCGCATCCAACGAAACTCCATCTGGGTGTCTCGGTCCCGGATTTTCGCCTCGTTCCCGCTTGGTTTTCGACGTCATGGCTGCGCTCTCTATCCGGTGTCCCATGTTCAACCACAGTCTTCTACTTCGGGACCGCTGTATGTTTGTCCAATCTATGTTTCAAGCCAAAAGCCTCCGCGGCGTCTATTGTCGATTTATTGCCTTCCGTTGTGGGCGCGTTATCGTCGATCATTGCTGTGGTGTGGGACCTACTTCGGATTCTCTATTCTTCTGAACGGCGTTTGGAATACGAGTTTTCTTGTCCGTCCTTAGTCGTGCTTTTTGTTTAGTCTTGAATCAAGCACCTCGTGATTCGGGCCGAATATATGCTTGGAATCCGATATCGAAAACCCGAGCAGCTGTAGCCGCATACCCAAATTTGCGTGCTTTCGCCCCTCGATAATGTCGCAAATTAGACGTCGCCGAGTAGCCTCTGCTGTAGCAATCTCGCTGCTCGTCTCGGAGAAGGCTTCCCTTGCGGCGGAATTGGAGCGCCTCGAGGGTGTGGAGACTCGTACGCGGTTGTCCCTCTACGTCTACTAGACTTAACTATCGGTTATAGTGGCGCAAACGACGGAAGCGCTACTCGAGGAAGAACGGCGCGTGGCACAGGAGCTACGAGCATGTGCGGCGACTGCGAACGGACGCTGGCGAGGCGACTGTGCGCATCCAGCAGTCCGAGTCAAAGGAGAAAGAGCTTGCGGAGAAGTGCCGTGAACAGGCAGGTTTATCTTTTGCGCGCTGGGTGCATATTCTGATATACGTATGCGGCAGGAACGCGAGCTGCAACTTGCCAATGCGTCAATGCACGAGTCAAAGAAGGAGGCAGAGAAACACTAGAGAACGGTACGGGAACTGAGGGAGCAGATCTAGAGCGACGATCGACTCGAGCGCGCGGAGAACTCCCTCAAGAATACGCAAAACCGCGCGGATGAGCTGGAGTTCCAATTGTCGAAGCTCAAGCAGGTGGGTTTATTTCGATGCGCGTCGTATACCTTTACTTATATTGTCGCAGGCCCACAGCACCCTCAAGACCGAACACGACAAATTTGATGTTCAACTTCAAACCCTCCGGGAGAGCGAGGCACAGTGGAAGTCGAAGCATTCATCATTGCACGAGCAGCACTCGACGGTGCAACTGCAGCTGACGTCGACTTCATCCGAGAAGGACGCATTATCACAGGAAAAGTCAAGTCTCCAGTCGGAACTCACCACGGCACAAAAGGCATTTTCGCAGTTGAACGAGAAGTTGCTGCAGATTACTTCCGAGCTGGCCGCGAGTGGCCGGCAGCTCCGACGACTCAAAATGAGCTCAAGGCTGCTAACCGCCGGGCGGAGGATGCTGAACAGACGCATCTGCAGGCGGAGGGGACGACGCTTATGCGCTCGCTCGATGAGATGCGGCCGAAAATCGTGGAACTCACCGGGGTGAAGCTGGAGCTCGGCGAGAAAGTCGATGGGCTCGAGCATACACTGTGGAGTCGAGATTCTACTATCGGCCAGCTAGAGGCAGACTTGGACGAGCCGCGTGATCTGAAGGAGCAGGCCGACCAGCGGCTGCAAGAGGTTTTGGCGCAGCGCGAGAAGGACCGCTCGTTGGCGCAGGCGAGCTCGGGCAAGCTGCAAAAGGCGTATGCTGATCTTCGAGAGGAACTGGACTTGTCGACTGACAGCATCCGGTCTCTCGAGGCTGAGCGAGCTAGCCATCGTCAGGAGAGCGCGAAACGTATGGAGGAGATCGAGCGACTCACATCGGCCTCGAACGTTCAGCTGGATGTGCTATCGCCTCTGGGGCAGGAGCTGGCGGAGCGGCGAACTGACCAGAATGAAGAGCAAGATTTCTTGGTCCGGGCACAGAATGAAATCGAGGCCCTGCGTGCAGACCTGGCCGTCAAAGACGAGGAACTCGAACGCCTTCGCGAGGCCGTCTCCTCGCCAACGAGGGCCGATGACCCGCACTCACTCGACCACGAGCTGATCAACTCCCTGCGTCAGCAGCACGCGCTCGACCTCTCCGCCGCCCAGTCGCAGATCCGCGCGCTCGAGAACTCCGTCTTTGACGCAGAAGCCAAGTCGCATGCACTGCGCAAACAGGTCGGCGCGCTCGAGGACCAGGTCGCGCAGACGCGCGGCGCCGCGGCACAGCGTGCGCTCTCACCCAGTATCCCTTCAACGTCGCGCCCCGCGAGCCGCGCCACGTCCGTGCGCACGGGCCTCGGCGTGGGTGCGCCGCCGCTCGCGCGCTCCGTGTTCGACCAGAACCTCACGCCCGAGACACGGCACAAGCGCAAGGTCAGCCTCAGCATGCTCAAGGCGCGGATCGACAGCGAGGTCGCCGCACATGCGCTCGCGCACCAGCACTCACACCCGCCGTCGCGCGCCCTCTCGCCGGTGCAGTCCGCCGACGGGGACTCGCGGCCCACGACTCCCCCAGCGCGCGCGCCGGCGCCGTTCCACCGTCCGCAGTTCCTTGATGATTCCCACATCTTCTGATGCCATTCGTGTCGCGGAGATCTTGTCATTCTTTAGGAGCATGTTCTTCTGTCGTGTTATTTGCGCTGAAGGACCTTGGGGCCTGACATTGTCATGGTGCTTGTTGTCATTGCTATCCAGAGTGCTGCACACAAGTAGTTACCTCGTCTGCGCCTGCCAATGTAAATAAAGCTTCACAACATGTTTTTACCGCGTTTCGACGTTCAGGAGTTGTGATGACATGTTTCTTTCTTTCCCCAACAAATTCTTGGGCATTCTTCGAATGGCGTGCGCTTGGTGAAAGGAAGCCAGCTCCAACCTGTTGTCCGGCAACGTCATCCTCGATAGATATCTCGCTAAATCCGATTTATAATTGGCGCATAGTATCTATGCATAGTAGAGAGCTGGTATGTGTAGGTGGCCTGAGCGCAGGTTTTACGCGCAGGAATAAATAAATAGAATATCCGCGCGGGCGGTTGTGGTATACTGGAAGGTTTGTGGGTATAGGATGTGGGTTGTTGAAATGTTTGACGGTTGGGGTAGCGAAGGAACCTCGACAGAATAGGACTAGATCAAAGGTGGAAGTAGTCTTGCATCATTGAGGAGACAAGAGACTCTTGAGGATGTGGGGGAGGGCTTCGGAGTTGGTTGTATATGCCTCGAACCAAGCGGTAGGGGTAGAGAAAGACACAGGCAGAGCATCGTTTTGGGTGGGCGGAGGAAGTTCGGAGGGCGAGACTAAGGTTCATGAAACGATGCGTCAACACACACGGAATAATAAAAGAAAGGAAGGCATACCGTTGAGATTCCATGGAGACAAGGGAGTCCGTGGCATACCCACTTGCGCGAGGGGCGGGATAGGATTCTTCATCGGTTTACCACCTTGTGTCGCCGTCTGGTCGATGCAGGTCGTCAAAACGCTGAAAATTCGAAGAAAGCGCACGCACCATGGACTCTCGGAGTACCGTCGATTGTCCTAAGCCACAGTCTGGTGAGCGTATGTCCGAAAGTGCACGGAGATCGATCGGGTTGTTCGTAGGCAAGGACGATGTCAACTGGGCAAAGGGAGACGGAGAGAGAAGTGGTGGCGTAGGAGGAAAGAGAGAAGCCATTGTGGCGATCTTTGCACGCCGGGAATCAAGTTCCGCCTGTGGGATCTTGAACGTCTTTTTCGCAACCTGGAGCTTGTATATCCTATAGAGTACACGCAGCTCTATGCGCCAGCATCATGACTCGGAACTCTAGGCTGAGCAAGAAAAACAAACCGACGGGAATTTTGGCACCGACTTCGGCAACGCGAGGTTTCTTCTGCAACCGGCTACACCATGTGGTGAGCAGACGGAGGAGGAGAGATGAAAATGCTCACAAAGTTGTGTAGGTTTCCATTCCCACCCGGATAAGAGGAATGAACAGTGTCTTGACCAGAGGGGTTACCTTCCCAAAGTCGAGCGTTTCCTGCCATAGCCCCCCGATGAAGAGATAAACGCCGTCCGCGACAGCACCGACTCCCGTGTCTGCAATTCGCTTGACCCCAGCGTGGGACGGTTTCTTCATAATTTCAAAGAGGACCTGTTCCGACAACAAACAATCTTGCAATGTCTTCAAAGCAACATGAGGCGAGGCGGAATCTGATGGGACGACAACTCACGGCAAAAAGCCCAACGCTGCATCCCGCCTCGAATTCATCGCATACGTCACGAAAGGCGAGCATGAAGGCGTAATTGAGGGCCATCCTACCGACAATCTTGTATCCTTCCCGCAGTTCAGCGATGGGAGAAAGCATCCCGTCCCACGTCCTCTGCAGCAGCCACGGGAGAAGAACCTTGTAGCTGGGTTCTTGTATAGTGCTCACGACAGCCTTGCTTATAGCTTTCTGTCGCACGTTCGACATTCCTGGGTGTCGCGCGGGAGGGAGGAGGAAGAGCAGGTACTAGAGGTAGAGTTCGGAAAGGAGAGCGCTGAAAGAGTGTGACGTCACATGCACACAGACGGCACTCGCTCAACTGCTTCCGTCCCGAGGCTTCGACGACGCGTTTGATATCCCCATCTGAGGGTGGGATCAGAGATATCAAGCCCAAAGCAGTAAGGAGCGCCAAGGAGCGACTGAATCAATGGATTCGATAGAATTTTATTCGGCACTCGATTCTATTACTCCCGAAATGTGCCATGTCAATTCTAGACGAGCTCTGCTATCCATCTTACATTCATATCCAGAGGAAGATGTGAGCTGCTAGTAATCGACAGCCAGCAGTGAATTTGCGGCGAAAAATTACCCGTGCATCGCCACCTTTCCCCTGAGTTGCTCGAAGTCGAATGAGCCTACTGCTAGTACCAGATGGAGGCCCTGGCACCATATTAGAGTGGCGCAAAGCACGTTCCTCCGCGCCTCCATGGTCCAGTTGGTTATCACCCTTCTCGTGAGAGACGTCTCATGGGGGAGGTCGAGGGTTCGAATCCCTTTGGAGGTGCCGGGCTGTGCGTGTTGGGCCGTCTTCGGAACTCGGATCATGGGCATCCGAGGCAGGCCTGGGTCTAAGAAAAGGCAACTTCGCGCCAACGGAATGGGGGGACTTCACCAGTCGGTCCTATGTCTAGACACATACCCCACCCACTGGCAATAACTTTTTGAGGGTTCTTCTTTCATTATTTTATTTTATTCCCCTGGGAGCCGGTATCAAGACGATTCAATGGACCGCATTCAGTCTGTGCTTGCAGAGGTAGCACTTCACTTATTTAAGCATTCATACCTCCAACGATAGATTTTAGATCAAGAGAAATTGAGCGACGGAAGACGACGCAAGATATCCTAGATCTCAGGGGAAGACGAGAAGTTCATCATGTCGGAGTTAGTAGGACTTTCCCTACTACGATACGAGCCAGAGCTAAAGCTAATGTAGCGGAAAGGTCTGGGATAATAAAAATACATTTGCCCACCAAGTAAACGTACATACTACCTAGATTCAAGTCCATCCTTTGCCGCTCCCCCGCCCGCCCCCGTGCCCTCGCTCCTTGTCTACCACAAATTGAGCGTCACGTATTGTGATCGCTGTCCGTGTATCCTCCTCCACCGGTGGGGGTGCAGGTGCTGCGGCCGCACCAGTTTTCTTTGGAACATACGCACGCGCCCATCCCGCGCCTCCGGTGGTCGTGGTGGTCGCTGCAGTCGAAGACGGCGTCGACGGCGTAGCGGAAGGGGCCTTGACGGGCTTCGCGGCGGCGGCCGCCGCATTCCCCGCGGTCATCCACGAGTACTTGCCGCCAATGCCCGCAGCCTGGCTCGCGACGGCGTTGGACATCTTCTTGCGCACGTCCTCGGACATGTTGCGCGCGGTCACGCCCGGGCCGTCCTTCTTCTTCTTGCGCTTCCCGCCCTCGTCGTCGTCGTAGTCCATGCCCGCGCCGCCGCCCTGGCCCGCAGCCTGCGCGGCGAGCGCGGCGGCGTGGGCGGCGGTCATCTCCGCGCGCTCCTTGCGCTCGCGGCGGACCTTGGTCTCCTCCTCGCGCTCGATGCGCTCGAGGACGGCGGCCTGCTTCGCGACGTCGCTGCGTACGACGAGACTCCACATCGGGAGGCCCTCGGTGTAGAGCGACGCGGGGCGGTCGAACTGGGTGTCTGTGCGGTGGCGCGCGGCGACACTCATCTCGAGGACAAGGCGCTCGAGGCGCGTGCGCAGCGCGAGGGCGACGTAGGTCGCCGTCTCCTCGGGGACCCCGCCCGCGAGCTTGTGGTGCGCGGCGATCTCAGCGAGGCGCGGCTTGAGGAGCTCGATGTCAAAGTTAGGGTTCAGCGGCTGCGTGCGGGATCGGTCGAGTTTCGGACGCGAGGAGGAGGCAGTGGGTTGTGTAGTCGTAGCACGCAGTTTTTCTTCTTCTGCCTATGTGCAATCAGGACTCTGCATGAATGTTGCGGCTTATCCGACGCACCTGCACGTCGACGCCTGCGCTCCCTACTGCATCGTTGAGCGTGGTGACGTTCGTAAAGTCCTGGGTGCTTTGGCGCGCAGGTGTGGGCGCGGCGGCGTATTGCTGCTGGTAGGCCTGATACGTCGGCTGCGGCTGATAGTGCTGCGCGTTGTAGCCGGTGTATGGTGTGTATTGGGTCGCCCTGGACTCAACTGCATCAACAAGCCGGGGCAGGTCGAGGGAAGGGTAAGTTACGGCGAAGAAGACGACGACGGCTGGGACTGGGACTGGGACTGCAAAGCGGGGTCGATGGGGATGACTGCAACGGGGATGAGCAGGGTGTACAGCGAATACGAGAGCACGAACGAGAGTCCCAGTCTGGTGCGGCGGGCGTCCCCATGTCGCGAGAGTCGCCGAGAGAGGGCAATCAAGACTTCAAGGTCGTAGAAATTGGAATGCACGTGCACAACTCTTCTTATCCACACCACCATGGCGCAGGCCGCGAAAGAAAAGGTCGTCCTAGTCCATATATCTACTCGCCGCTGGATGCTAACATGCCGCAGGGAAACGCCGCCTTCAAGGCAGGCGACTACCCCACCGCGATCGGCCACTACAGCGCGGCCATCCACGCCGACCGCACCGACGCGACCTTCCCCCTCAACCGCGCCGCCGCGTACCTCAAGCTAGGCAAGTATGTTCCGCTCGGTCGCACCCCCATTATCTCCTCTCAACAGGGCGGTTCCGACTTGTAGGAACGAGGACGCGGAGCGCGACTGCTCGACCGTGTTAGCGCTGAGTAAAGGCAATGTGAAGGCGTTATTCCGGCGCGCCCAGGCACGGGTGGCAATGGGGAAGCTGTCAGAAGCGCAGACGGGTGCGTGGCTCTCCCCTGAAGAGTCTACCGGTGCGCTCATAAATTACAATAGATTTGAATGAGGCAACCAAATTGGAGCCCGCGAACCAGTCGGTGAAGCAGGAGCTCAGCAAGGTCGCGGAGCTGATCCAGCAGTCGGCAAAAGTATTGATTACACCCCGTTCATCCACTTAGTTTTCTAACGCACGTCCAGAAATCTAAAACCCTCCCGGCGGATGTGTCCCCCGCAAAGCCGACGCCAAAACGGCGCCGGATACCGATTACCATTGTGGAGGCAGATGGACGACGGACTACGCCGACCCCGGTGGATGTTCCCAGCGCGTCCTCGATGCCAAAGACGACCCCGAAACCATCTTCAACACCGGCTCCGACGACGAAAAAGAGCACAGAGCCCACGAATCTAATGAACCCCGTCTCCTCCAGGCCACTAAATACAGCCCCTCCCAGCGCAACCACATCCTCCTCCGCCTCCGCCTCCACCCCCGCCCCCGCCGCGCCACAACCCACTCCCCAACCGAAGCCCTCGTTTAAAGACGCGAAAAGCGCGCGCGAGAGCAGCAAGCCGAGCCGCGTGGGCGGGGGGATCTTCCGCGCGTCCGGGGAGAGCACGATCTTCGCCCCGCGGGAGGGGAAGGCTGCGCCGGCGAAGCAGGAGGCGACGGTGCCGGCAGCGAAGCAGGACTCGCCGAGCGGCGTTCCGACGACGAAAGAAGAGGCGGCTCCGCCTCCGCCGCTGGCACCCGTGCCGACTCCGCCAGCGCCTGCACCAGCACAACCATCCGCGCCAGTCCAAACATCCGCGCCAGCACAAACACCCGCACCCGCGCCCCCGAGCGCCGCAGCGCCCGCCGCCAAAATCAAATCCCCGATGACGCTCTTCGACTTTACGCGCGCCTGGGAACGCGCCCCCGCCCCCGCCGCGCGCCTCGCGCTCCTCTCCGTGCGTCCCCCTCCCCCTTCCACCCACTAACCCCGCGTTTTGCTCACTGACCTCGCTCCCAGCAAATCCCGCCCGACGCGCTGCCCGCGCTCTTCCAAACGTCGCTCGAGCCCGCGGTGTTCGCCGAGGCGGTCGACGCGCTCGGCGCGGCAGCGGCGGGGGAGGGGGTGGGGGTGGACACGGCGGCGGCGGAGGCGTACCTGCGCGCGTTCGCGCGCGTGCCACGCTTCGGGACGGTGGTGCGCTTCCTGAGCCGCGCGGAGAAGGCGCGCGTGCGCGCTGTGTGGGGCGCGCTCGGCGTCGATGGCGCGGGGCTGGGGGAGGTGTGGGGGCCTGTGTTTCGGTGACCGACTCGCAATGTACGTGGAGGCGGAGGTGGAGGTGGGGTTTTAGAGTGTAGAATGGAGGTGTAGAGTGTAGAGTGAGTGGGAATCAGTTCTCGTTTATTTTGCAATTGCTGCGCAGGTGATCGCGTCGCGGGGAACTCTCCTCTCCTCGTCAGATAAATACTACACAGTAAGCGCGCGCTCCGGATTCCGGACTCTGGCCTCGTTGTGTGACTGGCGCCGCCTCGTGTGGGGGCCTGTGTTCCTCATCTCACCTCGTCCGGTTATCATAATATTATCATAATGATAATAGCAAGCGCGCTACTGCAGCCTCGTTGTGTGGCTAGCGCCGCCTCGTGGGGTGAACGTAGTGAGGGCCCGTCCTCCGCCCAGATCCTCGAGTCAATTCCTTTTTTGCATCATGGGGGATTGGAGCCGATCGAGGGATGCCGTTATTTACTGTGATATGTAGAGATTGGCGAGATACCCGCGCTCGCGTATCGACGCGTGTAGATAACTCCAGATAACTCCGCGTACGGAGGCGTACGGGCGTCGCGTACGCGTACGCGTGATACTAATAGGTGCTTAGGCGTGATATACCCGAAGTCCGTGCCCGATATGGTTAGGCTGGCGGTAGGGTATAATTGAATGACGCGCCGGGTCGTGGAGGTAACATAATAAGTAATAATTATAATTCATCTGCTATTAGGAGGAAACTGTAAATCGCGAGACCCAGAGAGGGGGGAGAGAGGACGCCAACGCAACGCGTATTTGTTCAGGGCGGGTGCGCTTGCGCTCCATGGTCTATAACGGGATTAAATCGTATTCGCATATATATGTGTGCCCCATAAATATATTGCTCCGCATCACCAGCCGACTATTTTTCTAACGACGAACCCCGATCGACGGAAAGGACTCTAGGAGGAACTCAATCGCAACCGTCGACCGCACAAATTTTAAATACATCCCAAACGCCCCCAGAAGCAGGCTGCTCTGGGAACAGGCACGATCGGACTACCCGCACTATAGTAGTACTTGCCTCCGTCCCCTCATCACGAAGCCCCCGTCACAATTGTTTAATTCCGAGTCGTCATCGCCCAAGGTACGCATATAGATTCAGGTAGGCACAATCTGGCACAATCGATAGATTTGCAACATTAATCTGTGGCGCGTCTGCGTTTCCGCTCCCCGGGAGGCTAAATTCAATTCAGTCGCCGCCCCTTGCGAGCCGAGGCTGCCTTCTAGAAGCTAGTGCAGCACACCCGGGTCCGACCGTTCCTGCATAACACCATTCACTGCAGGACACCCAAAATGTCGGGCTGGGCAGGTCCGGGCGCTTGGTCCACTGGAATCTGCCCATGTCCAGAAATTTCGAGCATATCTGGATCCAGAGAATATAGCCAATCCTGGGTCCGGACATGTCAA